TGAAAGACAAATCTTAGCAGGAACCCAGCAGCAGATTCACTGGTCCTGTGGCTCTAAAGTACTTCTGAGCATGTATCTTTAAGAAGCTGCCATCCCCCTCCCCCACCGTCTACCTTAATGTGGTAAGAGGATTGGGAGACCAAGGTATTATAGCAGGGAATGCACTCTGGCCAGGCCCCTTGGTATTATGGAGAGTGGGGGCCCTGATTGACTTGTCTACCTGTTGTGGCCCCTTATCTCAGTGTTGCTCTTATTGACTTTTTTCCTCTTGCCTTGGAGGTGCCGAGCACTGGTTTGTGGATATCCAGGCAGATCTGCAGTGCCTAATGCCATGAGTGTGGTGGTGCAGCATGTGGAGGAAAAAGCTGTGCACTCCTGGTCGCGTATCTCCACGGCAGGGAAGAAGGCCCTGGAAGAGGCGCTGCTTGTCTTTAACCCTATGAGCCAGGATCTCAGTGCCACAGAGGCCCAGCTTGTGGCCTTTCTGCAGGGCCTGCGAGATGATGGCTTCCAACCTACCATCCTGCGCAGTGGTGACGTGTATGGCTATAGTTCATGCACAGCCAAACCCCCAAGCCAGACAAAGCTGCAAGCTCGTGCTCCCAATCCAGCTACCACATCACCTCCAGCCAGTGCTCCTGGAACTGCCATGCGGTTGCCTGCAGGGCGGGCCACATTACTCTCTATGCCACTATCTGGCAGACTGGCCAAAGCATCCACACCAGCCCTTGCCAAACATGCTACCACCAACCTGCTATTGAGCTCCCTGAAGCAATCAAGTGCCAACCGTGTCCGGGGTACAACAGTGGGCTTCCCCACCCACCTCTATCCAGGGGTCTACCCTGCCATGAGGCTCTCTGTTGTCCTTGAAGCCCTGGTTCCACTCAAGACTCCTATGCCCTGTTTGGGTGCCAAACACAAGGCACAGTCACTGAGGTTCTCACTTGCAGACTCTCTGAAACTGCGGAAAGGTTCAGGGAAGGGTCCAGGGAAGCCTCTGTCCAAGGCTCCCAGAAAAACCACAAAGAGGGGCCCCAAGTGTCTGACTCATAAAGGCCCTGGTGCTGGACCCCAACAAGGCACTGGGTACCAGAGCAAGACCTACAAAGTCACCGGGTCACTCAGTGGCCTGGGAATGAAGGGGGGTTCTGCCCTGGGTACCAAAACAGCCCCGGCCAAGGCAACTCAAATACTGGCCAGAGCTACTTGTACGAAGGCCAAGGTGGCTCAAACGCAGGCTAAGACTGCCAAGGCCAAGGCTGCACAGGCGAGGGCCAAGGCTGCACGGGCCAGGGCCAAGGCTGCACGGGCCAGGGCCAGGGCCAGG